GAGGGTGCTGGGGGCTTTCAATCTCAAAGGCTTCAGACTTGGAATGAGTTGTATTACGTGGTAAATCCATATAAATTTCATTTTGAGGAAAGGTGCATCTAAAAAGTTAGAGTTATGGTGATGGCTAATAGATAGAAAATGGTAATTCGACCTCTCAATTGAAATGTCAAAATGCCTTCTCATTGGGAGAAAGATTTTAAATGAGCATTGCTAGCACATGAAATAATGAAAGTTAATTAAACGGAAGAGGTAGCACAACGCGTAACGTGGCGCAGGTGTACATCACGAGTTCAAATGTTGGCTAGTGAACCAAGTATTTCTTATTTAAGCGGAGAAGGACATAGGGAGACCCATTTTCCATCGTGTTTTGAAGCTGGAAAAGTTGGAAATCTCTCCATTATCAAGAAATAATGATCACCACAGTTGAGAGTTTCTCCTTTATTTACTAAAAAGCATGGGGGCTATGTTGCTCGATCTCTCCGAAAATGTTGATGGGTGCATGTCTGATCCTCCAAAAGTAGTGGATTTCTGGAGGATCCGACACGTGTGTGGCAGCTGTTTTAGACCGTCCGCACAACATAGCATGAAGGTTAGTTTTTAGGATTCAATTTAGTGCAGATTTGAGGTTGAATTTGGCGGAATTTATGGGTTTAAATAATTAATGATGGTTAATATCATATGGAAGGTTTAAGCATAAATGGGCCGGAACAAAATGAATAACAAGTAGTATCACCTGAAAAGAAGGAAAAGATAAATCCTACGAATCATAACTAGATCCAATAGGCATTACACCATGACATTAGAAAGTTAGAATTGCAGTACACAATTCAAAACAAAGCATAGTTGCTGAGGGAGTGAACTCCAATGATCAAAAAACATTAAACTGGTAAACAAGCACCACATGACCTAATCCACCTTAAAAGGATTTCAGAATATAAGTGAAGCCAACTACCTATAGTGCGTTTACTTTACCTTCCAACCTTCCAGAACCAAAATTACCCTCGCACACAAATTTTTGCTTCCTAGGTACGAGAGCAATCTTTGCACAAGAGTAGAATATTTCAGTAAAAGCTCACAAAATATTCCAGAAAAATAGAGAACCTTGATAAAACAGAAAATAATCACTACTTTACACTAATTATGTAAGCTGCCAAACATCTCATCTTCAATAAAATAGTTCTGAAAATGGTGCTTGAACCTTGGACTACCCACGTTAGCAAACCTAATCTGTTAATTCTCATTCATTTTCTTGTGCAAGGTATGAGATCCAAAAAGTCAAATGTAAGTCGTAGTAGACTCTTCCTAATTGTAATTGTTTTTTTTTGTTTTGGTCCACTTGGAAAGAGAGCAACAACAGATGCTTTAAAGACGTTAAAGTGCATATACTGCAATTGGGTGCATTAGGCCTTTATATTGTAGTGTAAGGCTCATATCCTAAACAAGTCAAAGACATTTGGACCTATTCGAACTTCTTTCATCGCAGTGACTAAACTTCAATTTGGCTCACATTGCTTTAGTTTCCCCCCTCTTGTCCCTATGTATGTGCATGTGTGTGGATGCGTACATCATTAGTCCATCTCATTCCCAATATTGTCTATAGTTTATGCAACATCTTGGACCCTGCCTCTTGGTTTAAAATTATTATTTTTTCTAAGGTAATGATTTATTAACCAAGTACCAAGATGGTACCAAAAGGTTACACAAGACTGCTGGGCATATCCATATAGTCAGTTAGAACATCTCCCTAGCTACTCCAGAAAATCCATATATTGGTCTATATAATCAATGAAGCTACTTTTACACCAATAAAGAAATGCTGTAACTTGTTTTTTACTCTAAGAGATATGTTTTTTTGCCCATCGAAACAAGCACTATTTCACTCTAGCCAAACAAGCACTTAGTTTTAATTTTTTTTATTTTTACTTTACCAATCACCCAAGAAAAGGAAAAAAGAACACTCATCCTGCACCTTTTACAAACTTTAAAAGGCTTATGTCACCAAATCCCATTGCGATAGGTTAAAGCGACTACAAGGAGATTTCTATTCGGATGGAAACAGCAAAGGGTACATGATTTATCAAAGTTCATGGGCAAATTCCCTGGTCCTATTTTATTTCAATAATTCAGGTTGTTAACTTTAAGATAGCTCTTCTGGATAATTTGGCTTGGAGATATAGCATGGAAGAAACCAGATAGTGACACTAAGTGATCACCTGCTAATATGAAGCAGATATCAAAGATGGATCAGTGCTGTTGGCACTGATACTAAAAAAAGGATGTGTTAATGGTGCCTCTACTGGTCCCTATGAAAAGGCATGATGAAAGGATGGGAACTTCATAAAGCAGCAGTTTAAAGGTAGGGTAGAGATGCAGGTTAAAGTTCTGGGATGATCATTGGAGCAAAGAAACTCCCGTTAGAAACAATCTGCCATTGCTGCTACAGTAACAAATGAAGCCAACAGAATTGAAACCAGGTGAATTCGAGAACGGAATGGTGAAAGGAAACCATCTTCACAGAATCCTTTCAACACATGGAGACAACCTTTTTTTTTAAGAATAACAACATGGAGACAACTTGAAAGCAGTAAATATAGCACTGACAAGATTACTTTTTAATGAAAGATTATATGCTGCTATAATGTGGATTCTGGAACTGAAGGAAGACATTTCTTTTAAGGCTAAGGCGCTAAGCTAAAAATAGAGTAGAGAATTTGATCGCAGTCCAGCTTAATTTTTTGAGAGATCACTTGAGTGTTCGCATACACCTTCTAATTGTAGAATAGGCGATTCAGGATATCCTAGGGCTTCAGTACTTGAAGTTTGAGCAAATAGAAGTAGAAGGAACTCCCAATAACATTGATATGTAGTGCAAATCTGTCTAGGCGGCAGAGGACAATATATATTGAGGCTACCGTGGACAAATGGCTCTTTAAAGGTTGTGTCTTTGTGGAACAAATAGATTGAATATATCGATTATGGGAATAAGATGAGACAAATGGAGGAAGAACGTGCATACGTGAAGTAAGGAGCATCATTGGCATGTGTTAGCCCTCCATGGAAGCAGGTTAGAGACAAAGATGAGAACTGAAAAGCATGCTAATAGATGCAAGCATTTCACGACAACGGCAATTCGGTGAATCATTTTGAACAAAAAGTTCTGATTGCTTCTTAAATGGAAATAATAAAAGAGAGTTGACAAGCATCGATTCATAAGCACGCCAAAATTATCTGAACTGGGCTCACACATAATAGTAAAAGACACGATCACCAAACAGAATAATTTTCTTTTAATTAAGACACTACCAAAGCCGACCCCTATAACTTAGGATTGAGGCATAGATGATATATTGATTAATGAAAGCCATAACCAAACAGATTAATCAGTAAATGAACACAATATGCACGTGCAAGAACGACATTAGCCTACTTATACTAACTTACAAGTCATAACGTGGTAATTTGCAGCTCCGGATAGAGTGTAGGCAACCAATTTTACTCACTACAACAACAACTACGTTTCAGTCCCAAACAAGTTGTGAGTTCATGATGAACTAATCTCACTCACTAAAGGTATCATTTTCAAAAATATCAGCAAATTACCAAAAAATAGTTAGATTCTACATTAGTAAAACTCCTATTGAGTAAAAAGATAAAGATTTTCTTTATTAGTAAGTAAAAAAATTATTAGATCCAGATTAGGTTAAGCAATAAAACATAAAATTAGGGGCATGAATTCTGCTTCAGAAACAATTCAGGAAGGACACATCACTGTGAATTACTCTCCAAGCAACGTATTTCTTGCGTTCATATCTTAATAAGCGCAACCAGCCATCAATTAGTTGGTATAAAAATTACTCCACAAAAGAAGAGACTATCTTTTTCCACTGTCAGCAGATTTCGCCTAGTAATCATACTCAGGCTAACTAAATAACAAGTAGTACTACATATTCCTTGAATTAATAGGTTTAACAAGTAGCAGTGCTATATATTCTAGGGCATGATAAGTTCAACCTACCTATTCGGAGAGACACAGACATATAAAGCTTAGAAATATGTTTATGGTAAATGTGTAAAATGCAAAAACATAATCTGTCAAACACAAAGTAGAAAAGAATAAAAGGCAAACCTTTTGATGGCATAATTGCAAGCCTTGTAGAGCTTCTGCTTGGAGTCCGACAATATATGCATATGACAAAACCTCGTAAGTGCCATTGCCTTCGACTTGCAGCCATGAACCCCACACGTATTGCTATTAACTGCATTATTGCCATTGTTGTTCTCTCCAGTTCCCCCTAGAGTGCCGCCATCCTTAGTCTTATCTTCGTCTTCTTGAAAAGCGCTCGTTCCATACTTCCAGCAATATTCCCTGTGCTTAAGCTTCACTTCTTCCATTAACGCCCAGTAACAGTCTCTGTATATACGTTGTAGTTGCTTCGTTCGCCGGTGCCGCCGTTTGAGAACTTCCATTTTATGCAAGTACTTGGACTTGCCCAAAATTATGTCCTCCTCGCATCCGTCAATTTTGATCGGCGTTGAAGAGGAGGGATGGCCGGCGGAATTGGCGCCTGTCGAGGAATTCGGGTCGGGCATATCGGAGTCTACTACGGAAGAGAGACGGGAATTGGTTGCTCTGTTGAGATTGTTGGCGTTCTTTAGGTCAATTCTGTTAGGGTTAAGGTTGGGATTGGGGTTTCCTTGACGGTGATTGGCGGTGGAAGCGACGGCGACGGCAGTGGAGGCGGAGGCGGAGGCAGGGGCAGGGGCAGGGGCGGTGGACTGAGGGGTCGCAGGGGGCATCTTCTGCGGACAGTGGGGTTATGATTTTGACAGCTTGTGGTTGATTTTGCAATCAGTTCGACGAATTTAACTATCGAAGTGCATAAAAATACAGTACAACGCCGCAAATCATTCTTTTTTAAAGGAAAAGGATTTTGTAATTTGAAAAAAAAAAAAAATTATTACTATAAAATTATAGCAATATAAGCCAATAAATATAAATAAAATTTTTCTTCTATCAAGTTGTATTCAAGTCTATCTTATTGATGTCTTTTGTAGAATTAGAAATACCGTATATATAGTGTACAATTTACTTGAGAGTTACAAGATATTAAATGAATGTAATAACATATTCATGTATATCCAAAATGATTCATGGATGAGTTGTTGGACATTCACAAATTCAATGTATTCATAACACTCCCCCTTAAATATTCATAGATAATGTGACTCGTTAAAACCTTACTAAAAAAAGCCTAGTGAAGGAAAAAGAGTACACATATCTTGTAATACGCATTGAGTGATGCCTCATTAAAAACCTTACTAGGAAAACCCAATTGGGACAAAACTTTGGTTAAGGAAAAAAGAGTACAGCGCATATTATACTCCCCCTGATGAAAATTTTATTTGATATCTCGGAGACGACGCATTCCAATCTTATGTCTCAGCTTTTCAAATGTTATGTTGGCAATGCCTTAGTGAATAAATCTGCTAGATTGTCGCTTGAACAGATTTGTTGAATATCTATCTCACCATTTTGCTGAAGATCGTGTGTGAAAAAGAACTTTGGTGAAATATGCTTTGTTCTGCCTCCTTTGATATATCCTACTTTAAGTTGAGCTATGCAAGCTCCATTATCTTCATACAATGTCGTTGGAATCTTCGTTTTTAAAGAAAGACCACACAGTTGTTGAATATGTTGAGTCACGGATCTCAACCATACACACTCTTGACTAGCCTCATGAATAGTTATTATCCCTGCATGATTGGAAGATGTAGCAGCTAAAGCTTGTTTTGTTGAACGCCATGAAATAGTTGTACCTCCACAAGTAAATAGATAGCCTGTTTGAGATCAGGTTTTATATGGATTAGACAAATAACCTGCATCTGTATAACTAACCATTTGTGAATCGAATTCATAAGAATAAAATAATCTCATATTAATAGTTTCTTGGAGGTATCTAAAAATATGCTTAACACCATTCCAGTGTCTTGTTGTTGGAAAGGAACTAAATCTTGCTAATAAACTTACTGCAGAAGTTATATCTGGCCGAGTATTATTTACAAGATACATTAGTGCCCCAATTGCACTAAGATATGGAGTTTCATCACCAAGAAGCTCTCCATCATTTTTCTGAGGTCGAAATGGATCTTTATTTATATCAAGTGATCTCACAACCATCGGGGTACTCAATGGATGTGTTTTATCCATATAAAAATACTTTAGGATATTTTCGGTATAAGTTGATTGATAGACAAAAATTTCATCTTTCATATGCTCAATTTGTAGACCAGGACAAAATTTTGTTTTTCCAATATCTTTTATTTCAAACTCTTTCTTCAAACAGTTTACTGTTTTTGGAAGCTCCCCAGGAGTTCCAATGATATTTAGATCATCAACATACACAACAATTATAACAAATTCAGGTTCAGGCCTTCTTATAAATACACAAGGACAAATTGGATCATTTTTATACCCTTCTTTCAGCAAATACTCACTCAGGCGATTATACCACATTCGCCCTGATTGTTTCAATCCATATAAGGATTTTTGAAACTTTATTGAACAAGTTTTCCAAAAACTTTTATTAGTTTCAGGAACTTTAAGCCCTTCGGGAATTTTCATATAAATTTTGTTGTCTAATGTGCCATACAAGTAGGCTGTGACAACATCCATCAAACGCATATCAAGTTTTTTATGGACTGCCAAATTTATAAGATACCTGAAAGTGATTGCATCCACCACATGAGAATATGTCTCCATATAATCAATGCAAAATCTTTGCGAAAATCCTTGTGCCACAAGTTGTGCTTTATATCTAACGACTTCATTTTTATCATTTCGTTTTCGCACAAAAACTCATGTGTATCCCACTGGCTTTTATTCCTTCAGGTGTTCGGACTATACGTATGAATACTTTATGTTTTTCAAGTGACGCTAATTCTGCCTAGATAGCGTCTTTCTATTTTGGCCAATCATTTCTCTGTCTACATTCATCGACAGATCTGTCACGACCCAAAATTCTAACATGTCGTGATGGTGACTATCTCACTACTAGGCAAGCCGAAATCTCAATGAACCACTTCTTTCAAGTTTGAAAATATAATATTTAAATAAAATCCACAAATCTTACAAATACCGATACAACCACTCCCAAAACCCGGTGTCACTGAGTACATGAGCATCTAATATGGATATTGTAACGACCCGGCCTGTCGTTCTGAGTATTACAACCCAATTTCCCCATTTACTTCTCAAATTATACTTTACAGTTGTTGTGTGAATTGATGGGGTAATTGGTTCGGGTCCAGTGAGGTTTTTGAAGGAATTGGAACACTTAGTTCCAAGGTTTAAAACTTAAGTTAAAATAGTGACTGGATGCGGACTTATGCGTAAACGACCTCAGATTCGAATTTTGATGATTCCAAGAGCTCTGTATGGTAATTTTGGATTTAGGAGTGTGTCTAGAAAATTATTTGGAGGTTCGTAGTGGAATTTGGCTTGAATTGCCGAAAGTTGAATTTTTGGAAAGTTTGACCGGGGGTTTGACTTTTTGATATCGAGGTCGGAATCTGATTATGAAAATTGGAATAGGTCCATAATGTAAAATGTGACTTGTGCGTAAAATTTGAAGTCATTCTGGATTGATTTGATGTGTTTCGGCACAAGATGTAGAATTTAAAAGTTCAAGTTTGTTGATTTTGAATTGAGGAGTAATTCGTCGTTTCGATGTTATTAGGTATAATTTGAGACCTCAAGTAGGTCCGTGTTATGTTATGGGATTTGTTGATATAATTGGTTGAGGTCTCGGGGGCCTCGGGTGAGTTTCGGACGGTTAACGGATCAAATTTGGACTTAAGAAAATGCTGGAACTGCTGCCTACTAGTGTGATCGCACCTGCGAAGATTTTGATCGCAGGTGCGAAGCTGCATGTGCTGAAAATAAGCTGCAGAAGAGGCCAAGAGTGGGACTGGGAAGTTCTCGCAGGTGCGAGGAATTTGCCACATCTGCTAGGCCGCATGTGCGAAGGCGTTGGCGCATATGCGGACTGGGGCTGGCGTGAGGCGACCGCAGGTGCGAAGGGGAATGCGCATCTGCGAAGCCCGCAGATGCGAGAATAGCACCGCAAATGCGAGATTTTAGAGGGCTGGCTATTTTCCGCAGGCGCACATTTTTGTCCGCAAATGCGGATGCGCAGGTGCGGAAATGCCTGGGCAGTGTTTAAAACGAGGGTTCCGAGATTTTTTCTCATTTTGGAGCTCGGTTTGGGCGATTTTGGAGAGGAAATTTTTCACACAACTTGGGGTAAATGTTCTTAACTCCCTTGTGATTATATTCCATGAATTAATCTTTATTTTTGGTGTAAGATTATTGAATCTTCAAGAGAATTAGAAGAAAATTTCTATAATATCACAAAACGAATTTTTCAAGTTTGAATACCGATTTGGAGTCGGATTTGAGTGAAATTAGTATGGTTGAACTTGTAATTGGATGGGTTGTCGTATTTTGTGAGTTTCGTTGTATTTCGAGATGTGGGCCCCATAGGTAATTTTTGGGATGCAATTTCGGATTTTTGAAAAAATATTAGTATTTTGATATGGATTTAATTCCTATAATTTTTGTGGGCTGGATCAAATTATTGTGACTAGATTCGAGCCGTTTGGAAGTTGATAAGCGCAGAATGGGATTTCTGGAGCATTGCTTAGCTGGCTCGACATTGGATTTGGCCTGTTCGAGGTAAGTAACTCTTCTAATCTTGGAGTTGAGGATATGAACCCTGAATATATGTATTTTGTGAATTGTTGGGAGGTGAAGCACATGCTAGGTGACGGGCGTGTGGGCGTGCACTATAGAAATTGTGACATAATTATTTCTGTAGAATTTGTAGTTAAATAATCTTGGCATTTTCCATGCAGTTTTATGAGTTAAAGATATTGAGATGAAAAACATATTAAAAATCATGATTGAGGCTATGTGCCATTATTATTGAGACCCACAGAGGTCATATTGCTGTGAATTATTTATTTTAAATTGAAAATTCATACTCGGTCATACTCATTTCGTTGCATATCATAACTCAGTTTTATGACTCTATTTTGATGCATATAAATATTTTAGGTTGAATGCCCTGTTTTACTGAAATGCCCGAGTTGCTTGAGAGGTTTGTGACTGAGTGAGGCCGAGGGCCTTATTTGTGAGGATATTTATGGGATCGAGCTGCACGCCGCAGCATGTTGCATATTTATGGGATCGGGTTGCACGGCGCAACATGTTTGATATCGGCCGAGGGCATGATTGTGAGGATAAGTGTGGATCGGGGCTGCCCGCCTGCAACATACTTTATTATTATAGCACGTGAGTTGTCCGTGTAGCATGTGAGTTGTCCGTGCAGCACGTGAGTTGTCCGTGTAGCATGCGCTTGGGCTGAAGGATCCCCTCCGGAGTCTGTACACACCCCCAGTGAGCGCGGGTACCTACTGAGTGCGAGTGCCGAGTGCTGAGTGACTGGGAGGCATGAGTGATTGTGAGGTATGCCCGAGTGGCAAGAGTGATTGTGAGGTATACCCGAGTGGCACGAGTGACTGTGAGGTTTGCCTGAGGGGCTGTATATGAGTGATGTTCTGCCCGAGGGGCTGTTTATGATTTTATCACTAAGTTGCATTGCATTGGCATGCACACATGACATACAGGCATATAGATGTATTTTTCCTCATGCTGTAAAACATCACATCATTCATGATTTCTCACACATTTTGATAGATGGGCATAATGATGCATTTGTTTTACACGGGTTATCCGGAAGGAAAATAAAACATATTATTTATTATTGAAAAGATTTTTGGAGAAATTTATTGTTTTCAAACTATTCATATTATTG